TTTTTCTTTTTAAATTTGATGGTTTAATATATGTGTAGAGCAGAGAGAGAGAGATTATTTCCCCCTTTTCTCTCTCTCTCTCTCTCTCTCTCGTCTTAATGCTGTTGATAGAGGAAAGAAACTATCCAGAAGAATCGTTTTTTAAAGAATACTGATCGATTCTGTTTTTTTTTTGTGTAATTCTTATTTGTAAAATAACCTTAGGATATTTTTTTGTAATAATGATAATAATAATAATATTAACCGGAAGTATTTTTAGCCAAAAAAATAGCCAATGTTATGTAGTTATGTTTATAAAATAAAATTTATGATTTTACTCATTACATAATTAACATAATCGCTTCTCTCTCTCCCTTGTAATAAATCTCCATATCAAAATACCGATTGAATCGTTTTTTTTTCTTGTTTTTTTTTGTGAGGGAATAATCACATAAGGTAATTTTTTCCGTATATCAACTGTCACGAATGACAAGAGCAAAAAATTTTTTCGTTGAATAAGGCTGTTGTTTGTTGTTTGCTCGCATTCATTCATTTTATGTTGATTTTTTTCAATTTTTTACGTATAAAATGAGCAACAAAACGCAAGTCAAAGAAAGGATAAAACTGTCCAACAGAATCGTATTGTTGCTTGGCTGTTTGTTTGGTTGAAACACAACCGCAAAACAAATCGTGCTAAGAATTTTGAAGAAAAAAAATTCTTTTTGGACACACAGTAACAAACAGAATAGGTTTCACTTTTACTGTCTGTCTGGCTGGTCTATATGTCTATAACATTAATGGAATCTTCACTAATGATACGAATTCAGTTTTGCAACAAACAACAACAACAACAACAACAAAATTGATTGCAGTTTGATTTTCTTTTGATTTACCAATAATAATAATGGTCAATAGCCATCATCATCATCAATATGATCATCATTGGTTCCCTTTTTTTTCCACACACACTGTTAATGATGACAATGATATTTAGCCAAAAAAAAAATTCCTTGAAAATACACACATCCGTTTCGAAATAGAGAAAAACATTTCTTTTTTTTCGTTTCGATGGCTATTAACGATCGAAAATAGATGACCACCACCACCACCACCAGAATAAATGTCTCTAGCATCTCTAATTGCTTCGATCTCATTTTTTTCTTCTTCTTCTCAAAGCAATCTATAATAATTTCTTTTTTTCATCCATACATACACATTGATAATTTGAAAATTTTGTTTTCCACATTGAATGAATGGAATGTATCACATTATAGAAGATGGTCGTGCGCTTAAGCTTTTGTAATTTTTCATTTTTAATCTTTTTGAATGATAAAGAAATTAAGTCATTCAAGTATAGAATGAGATTAATAATTGGAAATGCGTGTGTGTGTGTGTGTGTGTGTTCAATAATATTGTCATACAAATCGTTGCACGAATTAGTTCGGGTGTTTAATCAAAACTTGTTACAAAACAAATAATAATAAGATCAGATCAGAAAAGCAAATCTTTTTTTCTTCACATCATTAATGAAACAAAACATTTTTTCAAACAAACAAACAAAAACTTTTAAAACACTATCAGATCGAATTTCTTGCTTTTTTAATGAAACAAAGATTTTTCTTGATAATAAATAATGTCATTGTCAATTGGAACTTCAACTTCTGTATTACTGGTCTGACTTTATTAACATTTTTTAAAAAAAAAATTATAAAAAAATGAATGAAAGAATTTTGAAACTTTATTTTCAAACAAAAAATGACACATTCTTTTTCCTGAATGTTTTTTTTTCGTTTGAATCACACTAAAAATGATACTATCATTGAAGCAAAACAAGAACAAAAACAAAACAAAAAAATCAATTGAAAATTCATTATTGTAATGAATATCACAGGTGACATGATCATTATTTATATTTTGTTTTTCATCTCTCTCTCTCTCCCTCTAAAAAAAATCATATTCGATTGAATTTCAATCAAACTAATGGCATTTTTCCTTTTCTCGATTGGTTCATTATTTTTTTGCTTTCTGACATAACAAAAAAACTTTGAATTTCATTAATATTTCGAAACGAAGAAGAAGAAAAAAATTTCAATTTTTCATTTCGATCTGATGTCTGATGACAAATTTGTTTTTTTTTATTTTCTATTTTGATATGCAGAAATTCAAATCTTAATTTTAAACAAACAAAAAAAAAAGTTTTCATTATTATACTTGACATTTAACCCTTCGAGCGATTCACTATTATTTGACATTTGCATTTTACTTTATTATTAGGTCGAAACCTGACAACTTTTTCATTTCAAAGGATTCTTTCAGTCGAGTTTATTTAACAAAATGTTAATGATGAATGCAAATGAATACATTTTGTGCAAATGTGGAAATGTGGTTATCGAAAATTTGAAAATTTTTATATAAAATAAATCAAAAAAATCCAAAAAGAAAGACAGGCAAGAAAAAAAAAGAATTAACAAATTCCCAATCTCATTAAAATATCCAAGAAATCAATGCTATGTTTGCTTTTTTTTCAACACTCATAGTTGGTTGTTTGATCAATATATATATACAGTTTGATAATTAATGAATTGAAAGATGCTAACTTTGCCTGAGATGATGAAGGGAAAAGTGTTAAAAAAAACTAAGAATAAAGTTTTGTGTGTGAGAAAAAAAACTGCACACACACACACACAAAACATCCTATGACTAGATTAACATCGAATCCATAGAATATAAGTGCAAACGATTGAAAGATATCTCTGGCCGCATGACATTACACTCACTCAAAAGATTCTTCTTTGAGACGATTTGCATTTAAATTAAATTTGTCTTTCTTGTATGATTTTCTTTCCCTTTTTTTCTTTCTTTTTTCGCATCGTATTTGTTGTAACAAACATGGTGAGAAAAATTTTCAAACAAAAATTTCTTCTTTTTTTTCGGGCCCATGTAAAATGGAGATTGGTAAATCTGTAGCTGAGTTTTGCAAGTTAAATTCCAACAACGCTATCTATTCTGTTATCATTTTTTCTGAATTCCTGAATGGAAAAATTGTTATTTTTTCTCACCCTTTTCGGTTCTTCAATTTATCAAATGAATTCAATTTCTATGTGTTTTTTTTGTCTTACTTCTTTTCCATTGAAATAATTTTAATTCTACAAATCAAAATTCCTAATTGTCTGTTCGTGTTTGTTTTTTCTTTCTTTCTTTCAAATCATTTCATTTGTTTTCTCATATACATTGTCTGTTTGTGCTGTTGTTGTTGTTAATTTGATAAAATTAGGCTATGACAAACAGACTTGTCTGTGAAAATGCCAAAATACCTGAGATGATAACAAAGTATTAGATGAAAATAATACAAAAGGAAAAAAAGGAATTGAATTAGATCAACAACAACAAAAGGAAAACTAAGATATGCGAATTGTGTATAGAATTAATGAATAGTGAAGGGAAAAAAACATCAGAATAAAATCGAAAATCCATGTTTCGTCATTTATTTATCATTCTTTTGTTTTGTTTTGTTGTTTTTCAATTAAATTATTGCATGTTTGTCTATCTATCTATCTATCATGTATTGTCTATCTATCTATCTATCTATCTGCGTATGTATACCGTGTCCAAATCACTGAACAACAAAAACAACGAAAGTGAAAGCAAGAATATCCGAATATACAGTCATTTCGATTTGTTTTATTCTGATTTCATTCATTCATTTTCAGGTTTTTGTTGTTGTTTTTTCCCCTATGTTTATAATTAATGTACCTTTCGGTGTGTATTTATTTTGTTCTGTCTTTTCTTTTTTTTCTAACTAGGTCCACCCGTACAAGTTGGTGTATCGATGCATATTATTGGTATTAGTTCAGTTTCTGAAGTACAAATGGTAAGTATATCAATACAATGTAACAAATTATTTATATGGAGAAAAAATTGTTTACCAAAACAAAATTGAAACTGTTATTTTGTTTACCCTCGTATATTTATTTATATTTAGGATTTTACATCAGATTTTTATTTTCGTCAATTATGGAAAGATAATCGTTTAGCATTTACGCCTGTTGGCGAAATCGATAAATTGGTTGTTGGTGCTGAAGTTGCACAAAAAATTTGGGTACCGGATACATTTTTTGCCAATGAAAAAGTTGCATCATTTCATAGTGCAACAACGCCTAATACATTTTTACGTATATCGTCCAGTGGTGAAGTTTATAGAAGTATACGGTAAATATAAATGAATATTTCTATTATCATCATCATTATCGTTATTATTCGGTAGTTTTATAAATACAAATACAAAAAAATTATTATTATTTAATCATTATTATCAACATATAATACATCTTAAGTGTCTGTGTGTGCGTTGCCATTAAATTTGAATCATCACCATTATTATTTGATTTGTTTGTTTCATTTTTAGGTTCTCTTGCCATTGCTTAACACCATAATAATCATATCATTAATATATGAGAAAATAATGGCAATCATTGTTAGTTTAGTTGATTTTGATGATGATCGGTTAGTTGATGGTGAAAGTTTCATTTTTTTTTGTTGTTTTCGTTTCACAATGTGACTAATCAACCAACAAATAACTGACCAACTGACCAATCAACCAACCAACCAATCGCATATCAAATAATAATTTGACAGTTTGTCAGTCATTCAGAAACAACAAAACAACAAAAAATTCATCTGATCTGATTTATTTATATTCATAGTTATTCATCCATTATTTTTATGTCTATTTTAATCATTCGAATATTTTTTTTCCAATCAAAAATCAGAAAAATTTTTCGCACAGAAACGAAAGAAATATCAATGAATTTTCAATGAAACAAAACAATGAAAAAAAAACCATTCCATTAGAAAAATCCACTCCATTTTTGTTGGCTGGTTAGTTAGTTAGATTTTTGGTCAATTATGATGATCATATAATAATAATAATTTTGTTAAACTTAATTACTTTATAGTCACTTCATTATTCTTGTATTTAATATTTTGTTTTCATTTTGGTTCCTTGTTTAAATGCCATCAAAAACGCTCATTCGCAAAAAACATGGACACGTAGCGTAAACTATGATTATAATTTTTTTTCGCAAGGAAAATAAAAAAGTTGACTTTACTGCATTGCATTTTCTCTCTTTCGATATTTTTTTTCTACGGATGACACGAATTTTAAATGAGCAACATTTGTACAACAACCACAACAACAATGAAATTGCCCTTCGAATTTCGATATATGTCAAATCTCTTTGGCTGCTTTTTTCCTACTTATCCTAATTGATATTATGGCTGGTTGTTTTTTTTTTGAGGAGTGGGGGAAGCCAAACAGTTCTTTTTCATTTAAATGTAATGAGTATCATCCATCCATTAAACTTTTAAGCGAAAACAAAAACAAAAAAAAATTAAAATTCATAATTGACATCAAGTTTTTTTTCTTTTCCTGGGTTATGTTTACTTTTGTGTATAAATAGTCGTGAATCGTATTTTTTGTTATCTATCTATGTGTGTGCTGGGTGGGTAATATACTTTATCCATTGTTGTAAATTACATAACAAACAAAAGGATAAAACATTTGGATGCTAACCAACAAAAAAAAAACAGGCAAAAGTTGAAAAAAGAAAATAACATTACTCATTATAAAGAGATAGAGTCTCTATTTTCATCTGGCTAAAGATTCTATACTTGGGTCTATACTTGGAACGTTATATTTTTTTTAGATTGAAAAAAGAATCTATTTCCACCACCACCACCACCATCAACAACAACAACGAAAAAAAAGACTTTGAAAACCATTAGTGTATCGGAATTGTTTGTTCACTATTTTCACATAGCTATTTATACTATGCTCCCTATATGTGATGTTTCATTAAGATAAATGAGTTAGTTATATACCCGAGCATCATCATTGACTATAGTAGTTGGCTGATGCAAGAAGATTTAGAAGGAATGAGAGGGGGAAGAGAAAAAAAAAGTTCACGATGATGATGATGATGCTATGTGTGTCTTTTATATATTTTTTTATCGTAATTCGTTGCCATTGTTGTTGATATTCTCTAAAACATACATGATCTTTTTTTGTTTCGTTTTTTTACAATTCAAACATTCATTTTTTTTTGGGTTGAAGTGAATTAATAGTGAATTTACTAACCCAAGCAACAACAACAACAAACGTAATACCACCGCACACAATAAATTGCCATCCACAGATATATTCTATTTTATTTTATATTGACATTTTTGTAGGCTTTAGAACCAACCGAAAAAAAAAGTATAAAAGTCAATCGATTATGTGTGTGTGTGTGTGTGTGTGTGTGTGGAGAAAAATACATATATAAGTTGACTATACGATAAACAACAACAAAAACAACAAGATTGAAATTCTCTTGGCCAAACTATTATCAATGACATAACAGAATGATCATTTAGTTGTTTCTGTTTTTTTGGATGATAGAATTCATACGACAAAATAATAAACGATTCTTTTTCATTCTTGCAAATCGGAAATTCATCAACAATCCAGAGTCATTGACACTATTTGCTATTCTGTTTTTACTTTACAATCATTATTGATAATGTCGTTTGTCGATGTAAATTTGTTCGATTTTTTTTTCGTTGTTGTTGTTGTTGAATTGACAAGAGAAAAATAATTTCTTTTTTGCTGAATGATACCAGCCAAAAAAACAGAATGTAAAACCACTATAATCAATATAATCATGCTTGTTTTAAAGAAAATTTTACTTTAACAAAACAAACAAATTGTTCACGTGACAGATGGCCTCAATACATACATAAACAAATTAAAAACCACATCATTATTTTCCATTTGGGAAAAAGAAACAAAAAAAACTATCGATAGATATTGATTGTTTTCTGGGTTGGTAATTTATTTCCATTTCTCTTTTTCTTCTTCTTCTTCTTCTTCAGCTTTTTTTTTGAATGCAAAATTTCATGATGATAATCAATTTTTATTTTTAAATGCAGTCATTCTTCTTCTCTTTTTTATCCGAGAAAAAAGAAAGCGAAAAAACAAAAAGAATATTATTATAATGGATATCCAAAATGAAATTTTCTCTTTCTTCTCTTTCTTGCTAAAAGAAATGGTCGTTTGGAAATTATTTAGAAAGAAAAAAATATCCCTAAATCATGTGTGTCTCATCATCGAAACCCGGCTGATGTTAATCTAATTATTATCATTTTTTTATATTCTCGGATAAAAAACTGTGTGTGTTTGTATTTTATTTGTGGATGGCGAAAAGTTTCTTTCTCTCTCTCTTTTTTGGCTGTTATTCATTATCCAATGATAATAATATTCACAATGAATCAATTTTTTTTCATTTCTGTTGCTGTTGTTGTTCTGTTCATTTGTAATATGCATCATTATTATTTTGTTTTTTGCTTCATTGTTTTATCGTTTAATTTTTCTGTGTGCATATTATAACCATTTTGGTCGGTTTTTGGTGATGGGATTCTGTTTTGGAATTTGGCCCAAACTGCCAGTATATGAAAAGGAATGATCGAAACAAAGAAAAACAAGGAAGTAGTGGTGATTTTGATGGTGGTAGAATTTGCTCCAATAGAGAATACATTAGTCAATTACATCGATTCTATCATATAATGGCCACCAAAAAGATGATAGAACCGACAAAAAATAAACCAAAAAATGAAATGAAATGAAAGGGAAAATTTTTTTTTGTCATCAATCAAATTCAAAAAAATCTTGTTCTTTTTGTTCCATTCATTCATTTTCTCCCCTGAATAACATGTTTTGTAACAATTTTTTTGGTTTGACAAAAAATCATTGTGGCTTTTTTGATTGAAAAAAAGACTCTCTTTTTTTTCCCATTGAAATTCATTCACAACTAATTTTTAGTTTGAAATGAAACGGAACTTTTTATGATCTCAAATGATTAGTCTGATGATATTCATTCATTTTTGTGTGTGTCATTGAGAGAGATTGGTCATATAATTTTATTCAAATTTTCAGCCCCACTTTCAAGCTGGTGAAGATTCAGATTTTTTGTTTTTTGTTTTTCTGGTTAAACAACAACAATAACAACATATTATTATCATTGTAATCATATATGATTTTTTTCTGACAAGAATATTACAAGCTAATCTAATCATTTTATATGTATTTTTAAATGATTATTATGTTCACCATTCATTTGATTCAGGAAGGTGTTATTTTCATAATTTTTCTGTTTTCTTGTTTTTTGTGTTTCTATTTTTATGATTATGATTTGTGAATAATAACAATTTGCTGTGATTATTACATGTTTTACATGTTGAATTTCTCTTCTAGTGATATGCATCATTGCATTAATTCGTTTGCTACAATGAGAAAAAAAACAAAGCGAAAAAAAAGGTTGACCAGTGATAATATCTACAGATCAATTAGTTATTCAAATTTTTCCACATTCAAATGTGTGTTGAATGATTTTGTTAGATTGTTCACACACGCGCACAATAACAACAAAAAGCTAAAACAGAAGCCTGAATGACTTTTGATCTTTTCTTTTCTTTTAGCCAAGAATAATTTGATTAGAAAAAAAATGATAATAAAGCTTATAAATAGACCAGTGAAAAAACAAAAACAAAAAAAAATTCCGTTATTAACCATTTTAAGTTTGTTCAGTAAAAAATAATAATCTTTTCCTTTCATTTTAAGGGGATGAGCAAAACAACAGCAAAAAAGTACTGTTTTTTTTGGGTCCAAAAAACAATAAAAAAAAACAGCAAAATAAACTTTATGTACAGATCAAAAATAAGCTTCATAAGTTTTTATTATTATAAAAGGTTTTTTATTTTTACAAAACTAATGGTCATTGAATAATAATAATAATAATAATCTTCTTCAAGACGATTATATCATCATTTACTTTCATTTTTCGCCTTTTTTGCCTTTTTGCTTTTGGGTTAATCATTATTTTCTCTCGTCGTAGAGAATAATCCTATCTGTTTTGTTATTGTTCTGTTTGCCCTTGTTTGAATGAATGAAAAAAACATATATTTCTTCTCCTTTCGGGTTCAATTTTTTTCAATGATAATGATGATTTGAGAAACAATGTTTTACAGTTAATTAGTGTTGTGATTCATAGGGAAATTTATAAACTTTTACCTGTTTCTACCAACATACACCTTATCAAATCATTTTTCATCAATGATGATGATGATCTCGATGATCATTTTCACAAGTTCTAATTTCCTGTATTTTTTTTTTA